CTATCCACCCCCCCTGTATCCGCCCCTGGTACAGCATATATGATTCAGGAAAATTTTCATTTCCCCTGTGGAGAGCTAACCCTTTGCATCCATTTTCTCTATACTCTTGCCCATACAGTTCCCTTAATACTGATAAGGCAAATCTTATTTAACAATAAATTAAAGCTTCTTAGGTTGGTGATCATTTCCTTAACTCTCATTATCTTAATGAATGATTTAACAGTATTGCTGTAAGGAGAAATTAAATGCTGGTCACACTTAGGTTTCTTTAAGGGTTTTTGAAAATTAAAGGGAGAACAGTGAGGGAGAGTATCAATACACAAAGATGAGGAATGGAGAAGGTTGGAGTGAGAGCTTCAGAAGGCTTGGGAAACTCAGACTGTTTACCTCACAATTTTTCTTTCCACATTTTTGAGAGGTGTAAGTTTTCTGGGGAAATCACACAGCTAATAAAAGTAATTCCATAGCATTGTGCTGTGTAAGATTTTCACTTGTAATTGGAGCCTGCTAGTGTTTTGCTTTTAAACAAGAATGGTGACCTCTCACAGTTACATCAGTTTCAAGGGAATCACATTAATAAACAGAAATAATTAAATTGCATTCTTGTACTCTTTCAGACTTAAAAAAATGTACAATGGGACAAATTGGTTAATTGTTGATATGATGTGATAAATGAACTATGATTGTGATTCTTATACCTTCAGATTAATGTTTTGGTGACTTGAAAAATATTTATCTTTTTTTTTTTTTGATAATCAAGAAATCAGAACATTTTTAAACTGTCTTCTTATTTGTCCCAGGTTAAGGGAGTCTCTCTTACAGGTGTTACTTCAAGAATCCGAGTAAGTTACTTGCTTTAATGTTAGTTACATTTAGATGTTTTAATATGCTTTTGTCTTCAAAATCATATGAATTTTCAATTTTCTAAACCTGTTTTAGGTGACTGAATTTTTACATTATAAGTTTAACTTTATGTGTGATTGAATGTCTTTTATGGGTATCTTTTTTTTGTTTTTCAAAAATTTGAAATTTCCATTAATAGTTGATTTTTATGATTTTGTAGCTCAACTGTGAGAAATTCAGCAGCACAAGTGGTAAGTTATTCAAACATTAATAACAACAGAAATGAGTTGACCATAAGATGTCCTTCACCAACTACATGTACTTCTACAAAAGAGAAGAGAGAGGGTCAGAATCTTCCACTTTCTGCACACTGCTTTTCTCCACCTCCCTTTTATTGGCGTATTTCTTCCTGCCTGGCTGGTTTGCAGGTTGGGCAGGCCAGTCAGGTATACTAGCACCTTGGGTGCGACTATAGTCACAGCCCCAGGACCCCTTGGGGACCTAACCTTCATTTACAACTTAGGCTTTAACAAGAGATTTTTTCCAGACTTCTTTTATGATTTTTGACTATGTTCTGGTCCCTTGTACCTGGATAAACAAGGTGGTGATTTGAAATTATCAATCTTTCTGTAGGTGAGTGTAATAGCTAAACATGACCTGCCAGCCAATCAGTGGCCAAAACTGCTGGTTTTCCTTCAGCAGCACATCAAATCAGAGCAACCTCAGCAAAGAGAGGTGAGTCAGCTGGCAGACTAAAAATCCTTGTCCATCTCGGTAATTCATGTGTTATGATAAATAATTCATTTAATTTTATTTCATTTCAGATGGGCATGTTTCTTCTAAGTTCCATCACAGAATCTGCCAATGAACAGTTAAGACCACATTTCACATCCCTGTTTCAGCTTTTCTCCAGTACACTAGAAGATCAACAGAGTAAACTAGTACCATTTTATACAATAAGGTATAGTGCAGCATATCTCATGCTTCTTATAATGTTAGTTTGGGTTTGTAAATATGTATCTTGTATGATAAGCAAAATTAATATAATTTTTTTTTTTTTTGTTAGAGCCCTCACTTACCTTATTGAATGCATTGGATCTGAGGAAATTGTAAGTTTGCTGATGCTTTTTCTTTCACTATAAGGTGTGTCAGCTGAGTTTCTACTCTTTAAATGTGCAATCAACTCACTTTTTTTCGCTGTCTGCAATACATATTTGATGTGTTTCTAATGTTTTTTTTTTTAGCCTCTAGTTAGACCACTTATACCCAAGGTTGTAGGATATATCAACCAAATCTTAGCCATAGATGAGGTGAGCTGTATGCATAATTAGAATGAACTTTCATTGTCAGTGTACTGTTAGTTATCTGTCAGCTGACAGTCGGCCAACAAGGTTTCTCAAGGAGCTCTTCCTCACTATTACCCTTTGATTTCTGCTTGTTTCTAGTGTATACTACTAGAGTTATAGCGAATTTTATGTCAAAAGTTCAAAGGAAACTTTGCTTAAAGCACATTTCTCTATAAGATTTCTTGATAAAATATCACTTAGAGCAAATTATTGCTAAAAGATTTGTGTCAGTCTAAACAATAAGCATCCTAAAAGTCAAAAAATTTTCTTGAAATTCTCAGGCTAATCTAAACTCATCACTCTTCTTAGAAAGCCTAAATATTTGCAAAATTGGCTAAGGTCCACCACCTTTTTAATAGAAATATGTATTAATAGTACAAGCAACCTTATTGTAAGTTAAAGAATTATCATAGAATGACAAAATCTTAGTTATTTTCTCTTTTTTCAATTTGAGGATAAAGCTTGTGATGCAATGGAAATATTTGATGAACTGGTAGAATCAGAAGTCAGTATTGTGACCCCACATTTGAAGACATTGGTTGAGTTCTGTCTTCAGGTTAGTCTTAGTTGATGTACTATAGCACTAGGAAAAGCCTGCTTACAAGCCAAGTGGCCACTGCAGGGTTACCCCCAGCATTAAATTCCCCAGTATAGTACTAAGTCTAGGTTTACCTCATTAACTCAGATCTCAGTTTTTGTACACTACAAGCATACTGACCTTGTTGTGGTATACACTGGTAATGGAAGTTCTGAATAGGATGATTGTTTTTAATTAATGACTGATATTTGGAAGTCATCATCAGAGTCAATAGTTGTCAAAATGGCAGTTTTTCTCACTGAGAACAGCCCTTTTATGAATTATTCTCACCCAAAACAGTACTTGAATGAAGCAGTTTAGGAGACTCAATGTAAGATAAACACCAACATCAGAATGCATATTCTCCATACTGTTCTCTAAGATTTACTAAGGTGCTGACAAGGAGGATTTATTCATCAAGCAAGAGCTTCTTTAGTTGGTGATCATTTCTCAGGACTCTGCTTTTTATGATATTGAATGGATCAAAGTCATTGTTAGCAATAATTCCAATTTTATTGTAGATTGCCAGCAATCCTTCCTATGGAAATAATTTAAGAATAAAAGCTCTCCACTTTGTGAGCTGGCTTGCAAGAATAAAACCTAAGGTGAGGTTTGCTGAATGCCTGGCTTGCAAATCCCTGCAGCCTACCCACACCCATTAATGCTGATTTGATCAATGGTAGGAAAAAGAGGGTGTTGTAGGATTTGGGGAAAATAACAACAGCAAGACTTCACAAGCTAAATTTAAAGTGCTACCAAGAGGGGCCATAAGGGGGTTTTCCGTTAAAGGTCAAAAGCAGTGAACTGTGCATGATATGCTAGTTGTGATATGTGAAACAGAGAAGGAATTCATCATCTTAAGGTTTTCAAAAATGTAAGATCTTTTTGTTCACTATTATATTATTTACCATGAGGCATGAAACAAGGATATTGATTACTGTGATTCTTTAGTTGTTTTATTCAATACTCGTGAATTGTGCTGAGGTTCCCCCCCCACTTATGGCACCTTTACCAAAGTGGTTAAGAAGTCAAATTTTGAGCTGTAAATAAAAATGAAGTTGCAATTTTCCACTTAAACCAGAGACACTGGGAGACTGACTGCAGACTGTAAGAGCACACTATGCTTGTGGGTGTGGCAGGGGTTTATATAACTTTTTCCATAAGGTGTCATTGGTATAGGTAATCACATGGGGCCGAGTAAAATTAAGGATTAATATCCCACGTGTTTTCGGAAGTTGCTGAAATTGCCTGAGTGGCGCAGCGACGAGGGCAATTTCTGCAACTTCGGAAAACACAAGTGATATTAATCCTGAATTTTACGAGGAACCATGTGATTACTTGTTTATAATATAAGGGGCAAAATGTTTTCTTACTGATTGCTTGCAAAACGGGATGCCATTGTTACAAAACAAAAAGAAATTTCTTTACCTTGGCAGCCGTTGCTAAGTGATTTTCAGCCAATCATTTTCAAGTAATTTTGTCCGGGGCAATTGCAAAAATTAAGAAAAAATGCCCTCTGTCTTGACCAATCACAATTCAGTAATTTTGCCCCTTATATGATAAATAGTGTAATTGGTGCCTGTACTCAACAAAGGGGCCATAGGGAAAACCCAAACACAAAAGCCTGCTTGCAGACTAAACAGATGGCAGTGGGAGGTCTGATAGGCAACAGTAGCACCACTGTTAACCTATTTTTATTAAAACACCAACATTAAGTCTGTTAAATTGTCAGTTAACTAAGTTGAAAATGGAATTAATTTCCACTGTCCTCTGTCTTGATTCCTTCCTTTTTTATGCACTTCAGAATAAGGTGCAACCTTAAAGTTTATTGCGTATTCCTACACCTTTGCTAATTGTCATAGTAGCTTTGGATGCTGTCTTAATGTTCAGCTCTTGTGGAACTTTCAGAAATTGTAGAGGTCCTAAATTGGAAAAGTTGACCGGGGTTTTTTAAGTTTGGTAGGTCTTAGCCAGAAATGGTGAAAGAGAGATTGTTTTTTATTAATTAATCTTGAAAAGACCTTCTACGTATTAAAAAAATTCGACACCTTGAATTCCTCCAGCCCAGATAAAAGACATTTGTGGCTGTGAACAATTACTACTAAATTTTGTTTTAATTAGGCACTTGTGAAGAACAAACTTCTCTTGCCTACATTGTCTGTTGTGTTTCCTCTCATGGCATCACCACCAAGTGAAGGTGATGAAGAAGATTTTGATGATGATGACGACGATGATGAGGTGGGAGATGAAACTGAAGCAAGCAGGCCTTGTGCTGTGGCTTCACAGGTAAAATGAACAATAAGTTGGAGCTTTGTTGCAACATTTATGTTTTGACCCCAAACTTTTCTGAGCTTTTCCCAGGAAACCTTACATTTAAGATATGCCAAGCAAGAGTTTTCACTAAAGTTTCTGAGGTTTCTATACCATTCTTAAAGCCACACCTTTTCCCTTGCTCTCTCCATGTTCTCCAATGCTATTCAAGGCTACATTAAGGCAGGTTGTTATAAATGTGACTTCCTTTTTTCCATTATGATTGAGTTTTCTTGGGATTATATTTCCTTTATCTGAGCTATTGCTCCTGTAATATCACCATATCTGAATACTTGCTTTCACTTTTAACTTGGATAATAACATATAGTCATTAATCCAAGTTATAGGTATGGATGAAACCAAGCACTCCTTTCTTCCTTCCCCCATTTGATTCATGTTAATTTTTTTAAATCTACTGGCTAGTATATAAAGCATTGGCAGTTGCATGCGCCCAAATAAAAAGGTTTATCCACAAACCGGGCTTGACACTAACGGTAGCCCACTAGCTGCAGACTAGTAGAAATTCAGTTTTGGCTAGTGGTTTTCAATTTCCACTAGCCAGTTTGGCTAGTAAACAGAATGAAATTGTCGTAACCTCTAAAAACATCTAAGATGTCGCTAGCCACTTGGCTAGTAAGTTGAAAAGTTAGTGTCAAGCCCTGACAAAGTGATTTATTTCAGTGGCAATGTTTCTTATTCGTGGACCATTTTTACACAGTTAATAGCAAACGATTTTTAGCTTGAAGTTCGTACTGTTAAACTAATTCAGTGCTGTTCAATGGAAGTAGTGCTCTGTCAGTGACCGTAAGTGGACCCCCCTGAGCTATGAATTTATTGATTGAATCAATAAAAAACTCCATTCCCAGCCTACCATTAATCATCACCTGAGTTTAGTGACTCACAGCCACTTTGATTAAAATTGTTACTGTTGTTAACCCCTCTAGGTTCTTGATGTTCTTGCTCTTCATTTCCCACCTGAATCAGTTATTCCACCTCTGGTAAGTAAACTGTCAGGTTGAATAAACTGTGGTAGGGAGGATCACAAGAAATGATGTTTCTGATGTCTCAACAGATGCAATTGGTCCAGCCAGCTCTTACAAGCGAAGATCCGTACAAGAGAAAAGCAGCACTAATAGCACTGGCTGTACTTGCAGAGGGGTGTGCAGACTACATCAGGAACAGGTTTGATAGTGTTTTACAATTATAGTTCCATTGATTACACAAATGTTTATTTCAAAAAACGCCCAACACTTACCCATCCATAACCACTGAACTTTCAAGAGGATGAACAATATTCATAGGAGCTTAATGCTCATGAAACTAGGCCCACATTGTACCAAAAAATTCTCAGTAGAAGTGTCACTGTATGGTTCAGCACTGACTTATTGCTGTTTTCTTTTTGGATTGTAGATACCTTGAGGCAGCATTACAAACAATTTGTAGAGGTGTGAAAAAAGAGACATTCATTTTGAAATCACTGGGGATCCTTGCAATCTGATTAGCTCTTGTCTATGCTTTTCATTCACAACTCACACCATTTTTTGTGCTAAATTACATCTTTTTTCAGCCGATGAGACTGCTTCACTTAAACACAACAGCCAATCAGATTTCAAGGCTTGTTTAGAGAAACCAATGAAATTGCATGAGAATGAAAGATGACTTTTGCAACTTTTTACTAGCTAGCTCAATACTGTATCAATCAAATATTTTATACAGACAAAAAATTCTGTAATGAGCAATTGAATTTTGCAATTTCAAAATAGCTGTTAATAAAGTGGCAATTGAACTTTCATGTTGTGCAGTTTTTATCTGAAATGATCATACTTATGATTTCAAATCAAACTTGTGTTGCAGGCTTGTTCCATTTTGAAATCAGTATTTCAGACCAAATTGCACTCCACTCAGTTCAATTACCATTATTTAACAACTATTCACCGAAGTGGAGGTGGTTAGTGGTGGATATATACCGAGCCGTGAAGCAGCGAGGTAAATATCCACCGACACTGAGGTGAATAGTTGTTTTAGTATATACTAAAACAGTGAGATAATATACACCACCGTCATTAATTTGAGTGATTTCTTTGCTTGTCACAGATGCAAACCGGGGCGCCATTTTTTCCTGAGTTACTCGGAGGTAAATAGCAAAGGATATTCGGAGTTTGACTAGCCAATCAGAGCGCGCCTTCAATGCTATCCACTGTTTTAGTATATACTAAATATAATTATACCTCAAGGAGGTATACAGAATATTATTGAAATAGCATGACAAATGAAATACCAAAGGTAGTAGCAAACTTATTGTAGTCCATATGTGGAGCATTCTGGTTTAAAATGTGGTGCAACTTCTATGAAATGTAAGTTAATACACTTCATTCTCTTCAGGTCTTTCAGATCAGAATACACTGGTTCAGAATGCAGCTCTGTTTGCATTGGGTCAATATTCAGAATATTTGCAGGTGATATGCAGTTCTAAATATCTTGAAACTTTTAACTTATTTTACATTTTGTGAATTCAAGCATTAAGTTTTGTATTCTTCACAGGTCCATACAATTATTTTACTAATTGTTATTATTATTATTGTTATCAATATTATCATTATTATTATAAAAACATATAATAGAATAAACTGATTTTATTCTCACAATTAATTGTAACTTTTTATATTGTATTTTAATAATAATATTACAACTAACCTCAAAATAGAGGCCTTTCAAATAGATCTTGAGGTCCATGATTTGTATAGTCTTTTTGTGTTGAACAGAGTTGTTATTTTTTGAAAAGAGAAAGTTTTCATTGTCTCTTTCCAGCCAGATATCAGTAAATACAGTGCAGATATCCTCCCTCTCCTGTTTGAGAGACTTGTCAATACCTCTGCTGACAGTGGACAAGCATCACCCAGTATATCAAGGACTTACTATGCTTTAGAAACATTCTGTGAAAACTTAGGTAATAATAAGACTTGGGATTTTTATCTTGGATATGTTATGCTGCACCAACTAAAAATAAGAGATAGATAAAAGTGTATAAGCATTTTTAGGGATTTATGTAGTATCTGACACTTTCTGAGGGAAGATACTTTACTCTAACAGT